GATTAGACGCTATAGCTAGAATGGAAAACTTTTAAAAAGTGCACTAGATAGCTTATAGCATTGAAAAAGGTCTTGATTCACTTTTCTTTACGTTTTATTTACATCGATGTCCGATGAGGAAAAACCGCCTACCAAGACACGGTTGCGCCTATATTGACAGGCTGAAACACAAAAATTCTGAAATGTTGAAAGTTTCAATTTTAACGCATTCATTTTGATCAATCAAACAAATAATGGTTATTGTTCAACAGGCCGAATTATAGGAACCATTGAACACCGTAATCAATCGATCGATCAATCGACCACTCAAAAAAATTTGAAGGAGCGTGTCTATGCAGTCCATAACTACTGTAGCTTTTTCGCATAGTTAACCAGCAACCACTAGTATTCCTCGGCGCTACTCAACAGTAGTATTTCTGACAGATCTAATGGCCCAACGAGTATGAAAAACACAGATTCATTAGAGCTGTACTTTCTTGCCGCTGTAGTAAAGAAGTGGCCTCATAAAAATATCTTTCATGCCTAGTTTAAATTTCGGAGGGAATTGAAGTGAAACCAAAGAGAAATTAGTTCAAGTAGTTGAACTCTGATTACTTCAGCAAACTATTAAAGCGGAAGATACCAGAAAATTTAGATCGGATTTGGAATTATCAAACCTCTGAGAGGGCGCAGAAAGGTGTAGAACCGAAGCGGAACTATATTCCCCATATCAGACCCGTTTTTTCACAAATGTTTGCTACAGTAATTCCACTTGATCAGTGACATCCGAAAAAATGTATACCGATGTCCTGTGATTTTTGAGACGTTCTTCACTAACAAACATATCCCCAGCTGCGATGAGTAGCTCTGTCTTCTCAAGAGATGGTAAGCTGTAAAACAAATATTTCTGCACAAAATACGAGCAGAAAATCACTGATTATCAGTATTTAATGTCACCTACAAATAAATTTTAATAGTGTATCGTATTTTACATAAAAATATGACTTGAGGGGCTACAAAGATTTCATGCAGTGAATCTGAAGATTATTCTGGTACGATTATTCATCGAGGAACGCAAAGATAGCGCAGAGATTTCCAAGTATTTGGTTCTTAATGTTGACAAAATAAAGTTTAAAAAATTCTTCATATCGTAAAATCGGTGGGCAGAAAATTTCAATTACATTGATTACCGCGGATCACTATAAAACCGTGTCAGTCATGGCGTTCCCAGAGTCTCGCCTACTGCTGCCACTGTTTGTTTAGTACTTTTCAGAAGGTGGTTACACTAAGAGCAGCTCAGCCATTTTTTCCCGTTTCAGCTTCAGCTATCTAATGTCATATAAAAACGGAAACGAAATCTATTGACTTTTGCTCTTTACAATGAAAACGAACAGTTTTAGCTGCCTCATCGCTGTTAAAAAGGTCCTATCAAGCCTAAACGTACTGCATGTGTAACCGGTTTCTTTTGCTACTTTTTTCCTGCTTCTTTCCCTTCTTAATCACCTTATCATGCACCCACATGATGAAATATCTACTCTTTCAGAAGTTTCATTATGGCGATTCACAACCATGGCTCCCTCGAGAAGTCGGTCTACTCCATAGAAGTTGCTCCCAATGCCGCTGAAGTGAAAGCAGAGTCAAAGAAAGGTAATGTCGATTTGAGTGAATGGAAGAGCATTCCAAGAGCTATCCTCCCTTTTTACCCCTTTCTTAATTTGTTCAAGCGATCCTTCAGGTAATCTTCATATAATCCTGATGTTCCTCTTCTTCCTCGTTGCAGTGGCCTTTCTCTCCATGCTAATCGGTTTCTGTAAGTTATGCAGTACTCTTACGAGTGACTTGTCGATCTGAAAGAAGTTTCCCTTGCTGAACCCCATGACCTTCTTCAGAATATATACTACTATATGAAGAATTTTGAAGGTTTTGATGGGGTCTCAATTGACTTGTGAACACCGTTGAAGATGCCGATCAAGAACGCTGACTGAATACAGGAACAAAGTCTCCTTGAGCTCTTCCCTTAAATAAGATAAGACCTTTTTGGCATCATTAATCCTTTTGGTAATGCGATATATTTCCCTCCTGTCCAAATTGCTGTCGTGCGCTTTTCGTTTATCAGTGGGTTGGACCACGAGTTCTACTGAAACCCAAAAATGTAAATTGGAGCTGTAAAACTAATTTGGGTAAAAAAAACTAGAAAATCCTTGTATTTAACAGAAGGGTTTGGGCAAGAGATAGAATGCTGCGGTAGTCGCGTTACATACCAGAACCCGCGCACCCGCCAACACCATCAGACGGCGGTCAAAGCTCTCACCCTCCCTGGACCCATGGGACGTAACGATCATCACAGCTCGGTCTGTTACTTTGTACAATTTGCTTTTATTTAGAAGCTTTACACTTCTCGATACTTCAAGAGCAATGCAACTAATCATAGTGGAATGTGATTTCAGTGATGAAATGGAATTTTCTGACACGAATTTTAAAACGTAAAATCGATTCCCAAATTATTTCATCTTGAAAAAAAAAACAATTGACGATGTTCGACTGAACTTACTCCCCAGTATTTGCAGGGATACTACTTTTTCATCTTTATTCTATGGCCTACGTAATGCCTCTGATTCTTCTCACTTTCGCTGGCTACTTGCTCCTATTTGGGAACCTTGGAGTTGCTTGCTTGTGAGTTTTAATTTTAAAAGGGACGAGTGATGAGTGGGACGTCTCGTTTCTGAGTTGCGTAGTTACTACCCAAAATTAACACCGCTCGAGATCAAGGAATAACCGTGCCAGTGCTCAAGACCCCCTTTGCGCCTGTGCGCCTGAGCCCACCTCCAATTAAACCTAAACCGCCTTAACCTTTTGCCTGGCCTCTATTTTGAGCTAATGAAGGCCTTAAAATTTACATTCTTCCAGGAATCCGAAGTCTGCCGTCAAAGACATTGCATCGACTACCGTATGAAATCTCTGGAGCTTTTTT